TTATTATATGATGTATGTTTGTGTATTGCCTGTTTCCCTTATTAGAATGTAAGCTCCACGAGGGCAGGGGTTTTGTTTTATTTACTTCTGTACCCTCAGGTGCTTGGCACACAGACGGTGCTCAATAAATTGTTGTTGAATGTATGACTACATTACATGATGAGTGTTTCTCTTTATCTAAACGTGTCTGTGTCGTGGGAGGGGGAGGAGGGCCAGCTCAGGGACGGCTTCCTGGAGGAGAGACACCTGAGCTGAGTTCTGAGAACTGAAAAGGAGTAGGTGTTATTATTTTGGTGCCGTCAACTTTGGGTCCCTGGTAGAGGGAGTAGTTTGGGCAAAGCAGATGTGCATTTGGGGTTCAGTATGGCAGCACCGAGTGGGCAGCAGAATGGTGAGAACTGAGGCTGGAGAAATGGCCGGGGTCATACCGTGTGCCACGCTGTGGGATTTGGTCTTTTTTGGAAGGCTATGTGAGCCACTACAGAATTTTAAGTTTCTTCCATTTATTGGCTGTGCTACCTTGGCAAGTGCGTTAAGCTCTTAAGGCCTCAGTTTGTCTATCTGCCAAATGGGGATGGGTTGAGCTAGTTCAGTGTTCCCCATCTCTACTCCACAGCCACATAATGGTGATGTTAGTCTACACGAAACCCTTCCTTACACTGGTGAACCCAGTGGGGTGGACAGTTTCCAGGGTACTACCTATAATGGTCCCCTCTGCCCCAACCCTGCGTTTTTCTTCTGCTCAGTAAGCATATTGTCATGTAAGTGGAGATGCTCATTCTAGTATATTTTAAAACATAACTCACAACAATAAGACTTCACTGTTAGATGTGTGATTGTTTACTTAGCCCCACTCTCCTATTAGTTTGGAGGTCCTAAGGGCAGGGGCGGTGTCTGACTTGTGTCCCCAATGCCCTGCACCTAGAAGGTATTCAATAAATATTCACCAAATGAATGAATGAAATATTTGCAACACAGCCCACATCTTCTCTTGACATCCTAGAATGTGGAGTTTGAAAAGTGGCAGACTAGGTAAACTTTAAAGTTCCTTCCAGCTTTAAACTATGATGATGGTATTCTTATACCTGTTACAAAGTTGACTTTGTGACAAGTAACATATATACATATATATATATATATATATATATATATGTAAGCCAGGTACTAACAAAGTGGAAACGCACTACTCCTCCAGGCCTCAGTGTCCCCCTCTGTTACAGGGGCGATGTTGGACAAGATCATCTCTTAACACTCAGCACTGACCTTCTAAGGAGCAGGGGTACAAGGCATTGAACCAGTGTCCCCACACTACTGCTGTAGGATTTGGGAGTACCCAGCAGGGGTGGGTGGGTAGCCAAGGTAAGACACGAGGGCACGAACACCAACCAGGGTGAAAGCCCCGCGTCTCCCTTTCTGAGTGCATAGTGAGGGGCTGCAACCCAGTCTACTTAGCAGGGCAGTGCCCAGCCAGCATGCGAATGCAGACATTTGCTTGGCCACAGGGCACAATCTCCCTTCCTCCTCCCCTTTTCTTCGTTCCATGCACCTTTAACAACAACAAGAACACTGGTAATTAGCAACTATAACGAGCTTTTACATATGGCAGCCCCTACCCTGGTTAACATATCCAAGGTCACACCGCTGGTAGGTGGCAGAGCTAGCATTTGAAACAGGTATCCATTTGTAACCAGCCTTCACCTGTGTGCCCTTCCCACGCTCCCAGCCAGCTCTCTATCTGCAGACCCTGGCTTAGGGGTTGCACATATCGATATGAATGGGATTGACTCCTTGCGCCCCAGCAGCTCCCAGCGTCTGTCCCAGGGAGGGACAATTACAGTCTAGCCTGGGCATTGACTGGGTAAAGGGCATTTCATACAGAGTAAGAACAAAGGCAGAGAGTACAGATCAGGTTTATATGCAAGATGGGATGATGGCAGCCTAGGGAGCATGTGGGAGAGGGGAGAGAGGGATAAGGCGCCAGATCACAGAGGACGTTGAAGGCCGTGCCAGGAAGCTTGCACTTCTGACCGAATGCGGTCACAGATTCTTGCCGTATATAGACCAAGCTTCCTTTGCCCACTCTCTGTCCGTCCCAAGTGAACCATGCCAGCTGATGACTCAGTTTTCAGTTATAGGCACTCTGGTCAGGTCTAACTGAACTGTGTCCACAGTGTAAATTTGTTTCATAAAGGAAAATTCACAAATATTAGCTCTGTAAACTTGTAGATAAGTCGAAAGTTTATTCTGGAATAGCAAAATCATGTTTACAAGGTCAGCACTGAAGTTACAGCATGAGAGAGAGGGATGGTTCCTGGCACACAGTAGATGCTCAGTAAATATTTACAGACTTGTGTGGTCCACTTCCAATC